GAAATACGAGGACATCTGAGATGTACGGGAGTGGAATGCCTCATCCTGGGAGCAGATGCGGCGGAGGTGAAGGAATTAGGAATAGGGGATGGCATTTTTGCAGGAAGGTGGGTGGGAGGAGGTGTATTCTAGGTAGCTGTGGGAGTCGGTGGGCTTTAAATGGATATCGGTTTCTAGGTGGTTGCCGGAGATGGAGACAGAGAGGTCCAGGAAGGAGAGAGGTATTAGAGATGGTCCAGGTGAACTTAAGGTTGGGGTGGAAGGTGTTGGTGAAGTGGATGAACTGTTCGAGCTCCTTGTGGGAGCGCGAGTTGGCACCGATACAGTCATCAATGTAACAGAGGAAGAGGTGGGGTTGAGGGCCAGTGTAGGTACAGAAGAGGGATTATTCCACGTAACCTACAAAGAGGCAGGCATAGCTTGGGCCCATGCGGTACCCATGGCCACCCCCTTTGTCTGTAGGAAGTGGGAGGAATTGAAAGAGAAGTTGTTGAGTGTGAGGACGAGTTCGGCTAAGCGGATGAGGGTGTCAGTGGAAGGGGACTGGTCGGGCCTGCGGAACAGGAAGAAGCAGAGGGCCTTTAGGTCATCTGTATGGGGAATGCAGGTGTATAGGGACTGGACATCCATGGTAAAGATGAGGTGTTGGGGACCGGGGAATTGGAAGTTCTGGAGGAGGTGGAGGGCATGGGTGGTGTCATGGACGTAGGTAGGGAGTTCCTGGACTAAAGGGGAGAAAATGGAGTCGAGATATGTTTGGTGGAGGCGGAGACAATGGGTCGACCAGGGCAGTCAGGTTTGTGGATTTTGGGAAGGAGATAAAAGTGGGCGGTGCGGGGTTGGGGAACAATGAGGTTGGAGGCTGTGGGTGGGAGGTCACCTGAGGTGATGAGGTTGTGGATGGTTTGGGAGATAACGGTTTGGTGGTCGGGAGTGGGGTCATGATCAAGGAGGCAGTAGGAGGAGGTGTCGGAGAGTTGGCACCTGGCTTCGGCAATGTAGAGGTCAGTGCGCCATACTACAACTGCGCCTCCCTTGTCCGCGGGTTTTATGGTGAAGTTGGGATTGGAGCAGAGGGAGCGGAGGGCTGCACGTTCTGCGGGGGAAGAGGTTGGAGTGGGTGAGAGGGGTGGAGAGGTTGAGGCGGTTGATGTCTCGACGGCAGTTGGAGATGAAGAGGTCGAGGGAGGGTAGGAGGCTTTGGGGTGGTGTCCAGGAGGAGGGGGTGTGTTGAAGGTGGGAGAAGGGGTCGGTGGAGGGAGGGTTAGGCTCATGGTTGAAGAAGTAAGTGCGGAGGCGGAGGAAAAACTGCTCGATGTCCAAACGTGACCGGTATTCGTTGATGTGTGTGTGGAGGGGGACAAAGGTGAGCCCTTGACTGAGGACTGACTGTTCGTCCTCAGTAAGGGGGAGGTCTGGGGGGATGGTGAAGACTCGTCAGGGCTGGGTGTCGCTGTCTCCTCTGGAGCTGCTGGCTGTGGAGGCGGTGGGCGGAGCGACGTCGGTGTCGGCTGTGGGCGGAGTTGCATCGGCAGTGGTGGGCGAAGTTGCGTCGGCGTCAGTGGTGGGTGGAGTTGCGTTGGCGTCGGTGGTGGGTGGAGTTGTGTCGGCTTCGGGCAGAGCGGGGTAGGAGGCGGCAGCAGCGGTGATGGTAGGTGCGTCCTCAGTGTCTATGGTGTTGGCCTCGGAAATGGAGGCGGTGGCATCAGCAGCCATGACGAAGGCGTTTGCTGTCCCGGAAGTGGTGTACCCGGCAGCGGAGGATGTGACGTCATCCGTGGTTGCTCCGACAGTGGCCACATGGCCAATGGCGGCAGGCACATTGTGGGGTAGGGTTGGGGATTTGGGAGGTGGAGGAAGCCCGTTTTGGGTGGTAGGCACCAGTAAGTTTACTGTACTTACAGTTTTTAGTTTCCAATGAAGCTGAGTAGAATTGTGAGTTCAGGTTGTGGATCCTACGAAGAATAAAAAACAGGAGAGGTCCTTTGCAGGTCTGGCAGAGGGAGGCTCTGAGCTGGGGTAGGCTTGACTGTAGTGCCAGGAGATTCCGGCGCATTGCTGCGAGTGTGTGTTTCAGCAGTCGCAGGGAGAAACGCTTCTGAAGGATCTCAATGTTCTGAATGTAGACATTGTCATGGTTGGGGCCAAATTGGGAAGGCCTGAACATGGCCTGTAGTCCATTGGGGATGATCTGGTTCCGTAGGCAGGTACTAATAAAGGTGATGTGACTGTAGTACCTGGTTTGCTTCAGGACGTGGTCGAGCAGTTTCAAGGCCGAAGAGATTATGAGAGAGTTGCTTCACAAGCTTCAAAATCTCCCCTCCCATTTCCGCATCCCAAAACCAGCCCAGCTTGTCCCCGCCTCCCTAACCTGTCCTTCCTCCCACCTATCCCCTCCTCCCACCTCAAGCCCCACCCCCATCTCCTACCTACTAACCTCATCCTGCCCCCTTGACCTGTCCGTCCTCCCTGGACTGACCTATCTCCTCCCTACCTACACTCACATTTACTGGCTCCATCCCCGCCTCTTTGACCTGTCTGTCTCCTCTTCACCTACCTTCTCCTCTATCCATCTTCTATCTGCCTCCCCCTCTCTCCCTATTTATTTCAGAATCCCCTTCCCCTCCCCTCCCCTCCCCTCCCCCATTTCTGAAGAAGGGTCTAGGCCCAAAACGTCAGCCTTCCTGCTCCTCTGATGCTGCCTGCTGTGTTCATCCAGCTCTACACCTTGTTATCACTGAAGCCTGCTACTCGAGGATTGGTATGTATGATTTTATGCTCAAAAAGTCACAGCCTTTACTCTGTAAGCTTATCAACACAGAACGCAACTGTAATTTTTTCTAGCTTGTGCTGTAATCTTGAATACGAAAGATAAATGTTTCATTGTTACTAAGTTAAAGCTAACTACGTTCAACACATTGTGGTGCACTTAAATTACTTTTGGGCTCCTGTTAATATTCTAGGTTGTTTATTAATTGTTAAAGATGAAAATTCTTTAGATACCATCATTAGTACATAAACTTATGTAACTATTAATAAAATTATCAACTTTTTTATTATTTAAAATATTTTTAGATAATGTATCCTTGCAGCCTAAAATTATTTAACACCTTTGCTAGATCAAATTAATTTAGTTTGATTAATATGTTCCTACTGTTATCAATATCTTTTAAACTACAGTACATGAGATAGTTTGGATATTATATAGCAAACCTTGGTCTGGTCATGGGACAGAAGGAACTACGTTTTTGTTTGTGTTGAAGTAACTCCAAGGGGCCGGTATCTGTCACCTTTATTTACACATGAACTTTAGTACTGCCTCATTCAGAGTCAGCTACCACAGTGTCAGCATTTCTGAAATTCCTTTTATGTGTTAGCTAGGGCTACCTGATTGGACAGATTAACATTCCCAATCAGGGAACTCATATTCTATGAGGTCCAGCTGGCTGACCTCATTACAATCACTACATCCCTCCCCCTCTGAGTCAGAGGACATAGGCTAGTCCGTTTTCTTGGGGAACTTCCTGGAGTGTTTTAGCACTGGTTTGGGTTCCTCTAACTGTGTCTGATACAGGTGGTGTGTAATGCATGGGAGCTCACCTCTTGCACCAGGAGCCCCCCAGCAGAATTTTGCTCTCTTCTTCCATGACAAAGGTATTAAGGTCACGTCCATCTTGGATCCTGAGGACTCGAAAATGCTTGATGGCGAGGGTGAACCCTTGGGTTCCCGCAGCCTTTCTGACTGTTCTAAGGCCAGGGCAAGTTTTGCTCTTACACTGGTTGTAAACCCGTGGCTTTCATATTGTCCACCTGCTTGTTCAGGACCATCGCACCTACCCTGAACTTTATACATCACTGGTCCTGACCTTGTGTTGATCATGCCTCTTACCCATGCAAGGCCATTTCTGTGATTCTTACATCAAACCTCGTCCCTTGTATCAAAGCCATCTCTCTCTGAGTATCGTGTCTGGTATTGATGTTGCTGATGTCGTTTCACCCTCCACCCCCAGGTCTGGGAAGATCAGTTAATCTGGTGCAGAATCTTCTACCCATCAGCAACTCTGCCAGTGTGGTATTCCTGTGATTGCACATGGGGTGGTCCTATAATCAAATAAGAACTGTGACAACTTGGCATCTAACAAGGCTGTAGGCCATTAACTTCTTGCTAACATCATCATTTTGAAGACCCCTGGATGGCCCTGGTGGAGTTTAGCCAGTATATAACAGTGACCTTTGCTTGGAGCAATCACTCTGGCTCCCCACAACAATATGCCATCCTCTAATGTGAGCTGGTCTCTCCAGGTCCAAAAAGGCCTCAATTCTAGTTGCGTTGGCCCTTTTGATTCCCTCATTAATATCAGTTGTTTCAGTTTTGGAAGGACTGGATCTTTCTGCATCCAAATTCTGATATTGTCAGCTCTGACTAAGAGCGTGTCTGGGAAATTTACTATCACTAAGCACTCTTCCACTGGGGGTACCACCACTGATGTATCTGCTAATGGGAGGCAGCTCAATGCATCAGCATTCACTATTCGCCCTCTCAGATGGTGTTCTAACTTGTAATTATAAATGCTTTGTTTTAGAGCCCACTGCTGATTGCAGCCCGAAGCTATGGGTGTCACTGCCTTGTTCTCTTTAAGCAAACCAAGCAGGGGTTTGTGGTCTGTGATTATCACAAATTTTCATCTACAAAGTTATCGGTAGAACTTCCTGACTTCAAATATGATCGCCAATTCTTCTTTCTTTATCTAGGTGGGTATTTATGCTCTGCATCAGCCAAAGTCCTGGATGCATATGCTATTGGACGTTCCCCTCCACTGGGCCACCTATGAGCTAATACCAAACTGATGCCGTACAGGGAGGCATCACAGGTCGACACTAGGTCTTTCCTGGGATCATAGTGGGCCAACACCTTACAGGATGACAGCTATTTCTTTACTTCACTTAAACCTAGGGCTTGTCTATGTGACCTTTCCAAGCTGGCTCTTTATTAGAAGCAAGTGGCCAGGATGGAGGCCAAGCTATGTATAAACTTTACATAATAATTTACCAGCCCAAGAAATGACCTAAGCTCCTGGACAGATGTGGGAGCTGAGTCACCTTTGATCACCCTCACTTTATCTTTCAACAGGTGTAACCTGGTCTTGTTGACTCTGTAGCACAAGGAGGTCACCTGGGGAGACTGGGACAAACATTTTTGCTTTCTTAGGTGTATGCGTGCTTTGGAAAAATTCCCTTAGGACAATATCCAAATTCTCTTCATGTTCCTTGTTAATTTTCACTGTTATTAGGAGGTCATCTAAGAAAATACGACCTGAGGTAGACCTTGCAATATGTTCTCCATTGTCTGCTGAAAAATTGAACAGGCCAATGGCAGTCTCGTATATTAGTACAAGCCCTTACAGAGTCATACAGCATGGAAAAGGAGCCTTTCTTTGGTCCAACCAGCCCCGCCGAACATAATCCCAAACTCCTGGCCCATATCTCTCCAAACCTTTCCTATTCACGTACGTATTCAACTGTTTTTTAAACATTGTAGCTGTACCCACATTCACCACTTCCTCAGGAAGTTTATTCCACATGGGTATTAATTGTAGCATACTTCCAGGAATCCTTGTCTAAACGCAACTACAAGTAAGCATGGCTCATGTCCAGTTACGTGAAGGACAGCTCCCCTACCAGCTTTGCGTATAAATCCTCTATGCGAGGGATTATGTATTTATCCAGCTGCAAAAAGGGGTTTACTGTTTGTTTAAAATCCCCACAAAGGCAAACCCACCCGTTGGGCTTCACTAATCGGTACAACTGGTTTTTCCCATTCTGCAAATTGGACAGATTTGATGATTCCATCACTTTCCGGCATCCACTTTTGCCCATAAGGCAAATGGCACTGAGTGGGCCTTGCAGAATCTTGGAATTGCTTCCTGGTCAAAGTGGCCTTGGCTCCTGATAGTCCTAGGTATTCATGGAAGATGTCTGGGTATTTAATTAGGACTTCACTCAGACTGCCATTTTCTAAAGTAAAAATGTTGAGCCAATTTAACTGAATTTCTCGCAACCAACTTCACCCCATCAAGTTTAGTCCAAAGCCTTTTCCAACAATCACTGGTAATTGAACGAGATGCTTTTCGTAAGAGAGCAGAACCGAAGTTGTACCCTTAATTTGTAAAGGCTACCCAGTATAGGTTTTCAGCCTAGCCGAGGTCTTGCGCAAAATTAAGGGCTAGAGTCCAGAGTGAACTTTGTTAAAATCTGGTTCTGCCGCACCTGTATCAACTTTCATTACAACCAGATGACCATTAGCCACTTGTTCATCTTGATTGGTTCTGATTTTGATGTTGCTAAGCAATTTAACTGTTCCGAACCAGATGCAGGTGGA